ACACACACACACACACACACACACACACACACACACACACACACACAAATGAGATGTAGACATGAAGGTTAAACAGAGTGACTGAAAAGTAAATTAAACGAGAAGAGGCCCAGTGGCTCACCTTGCACACTCTCTGAATGATTTCTATTTTGCGGACGATTGAGGTGATACATTCGTGGAAAGTTGACTGAAACAGGATGCAGAACACTCGTTCAGAGAAGTTGGGGATTTGGGATAACTGGAACAGAAACCTGATGAAGGCACAAGATCAGTCACCATAACACATCTATTTAAAGACATAGCTCTCATATAATGAATTTGGTTCTGAAGGTACAGTAGGTTTGACTCGTACTGTTCAGGCTTGTCCAGTGGCTTGGCATCCTCCTTGTCTTTGGATGATTTAATATGCTTTTTAATGCCATCCATCTCGTCATTTTGAGCTCTCTGTAACATGAAAATAGAGATTAAGTAAAGATGGGAATGTATGTTGTATAGGCAACAGAAACCAAAATGCACTTAGAGTACAGCATACCATAAAAATGTCTAAATACATGTCATACTTCTACAGGAGAAAATACACGGCTGTCTTTCAGACACATTTTGTTTGTGTGCATTTCTTACTTGTATCTATTATATACGTTAGCAAAACACGAAGTAAAAGAAATGTAGAGGAAGCGAACGAAAATCAATCTCATGCCGATGACAAACCGCTGCATCCCTGAAACGGCCATGAATGGGCCAATAATAAGTGCCAATCTGTGTGATTGATGTGCAATACCTCTATTTCGCAGGATCACAAAAGGTGTTTACTTGCATCTCCGCAGAAGCTTTATACAAGCTTCACAACTCTGAGTCTCTAGTGTCACGCAAACCAGATCAAACAGACAAACGCATAGATTGTGTAGATAAACCTTATTTTCTGCTGATGAAGATTAACAGCCCCAGGACACTTATAGTACTAAATGGACATTGAGGGGATAATGTTTTGTCAATAGCTGTTTTCGGAATCAAAAATAAATGTTGAACCTTGACTTTCGAGCCAACATGGACAAGAAGTCCTTAATGAGCTCAGAAAAAAAAATACTTTTTAACATCTACAATTTCATGACAACTGGCCAACTCCATCTGCTGATGAAGATCATGCAATGTGATCAAAAGCTCTAGAGCAGCTAAAATTGCAGTGGATTTGTTAAGTCAGCTTAGTTCTTAATTTCTCTAGACAAACTTAGCCATTTTGTTCTTAACACTCAACTGAATGCTGTACAGTACAAGTTTCATAAATGTTAAAGAGTTGCTCCAGTCAGACAACATTCCTGACTATTATCCTGCTGTCAGGCCCTGGACCACAGTTTTAAACAAGGTGGTATAAAAAAAGAAAGAAAAAAAGGCCAAATGCCCCTTTGTTTTTCACAAGAGGCAAAGACAATAGATGTTAATGTGTCTGACGCAGATGGGTAAAACAATAAAACCATCCCCAGGAAGAGAATGTAAACTATCTCTCAGTCTCTCCAGAGCCCAAAGACCCCCAAAGTCTGAGTCTCAGCAGTCTGGTCTCTCCATCTTTCTCGGGTTTTGGCCTCGGCATGGATCCTTGGAAAACATCAAACGGCAGCATCAAAAGCACTGAGGGCCCGATTAGTATTCTACACACCGCTGCCTTCTGTCGACGAGGGCAAGCTCTCCTTCGCCTTCTCTTGAGATGTTTTCAAGTGTAAATATATTTAATACAAAGCAGATCCTTTTCAAAGGGCAGCATCAGAGCCCAGCAGTGTTTGGTGTAATTGGGGACAAGTAGGCATTAGCGTGTGATCTTTGAATTGCTAGGGCATGTTGCGCTGGTTGTTAGCATGAGAAATACAGTCCCATGTGGAATATCAAATGCAAAAGAAAGTAGAATGATATTCGTGATGCCAGAATTCTAGCGGTAGCCAAGTGGTATTCATTAGCCAGGTTCCTAGTGCAGGGCTAAACAGCGCCAGCCAGGGCTTAATCACCATTCATGTCAGTCAATTTTCAATGGAACAACATTTATGAGATTATTTGTACATTGAGATGCCAGCGAATATTATCCAAATGACAAATTGCATCACGTTGTGAACATGTTAAATATATTTAGACCTCACAAGGCTTTGTCTTAAGAAAAAGAAAACAGTATGAGCCAATTATTTGTAGTGTAAAAGTTCGTAGGAGGGACTATAGCTCAAACTGACCTCCATGACATTTAGCTACCGTCAGCTGAAAAGGAGTCTGAACTTCAGACTGTCTGGACCCAGATTATAGCTTGTGATATTAGAGGGGAGGGAGTGGTGTCCCACTATCACTGTGACCCCCTTTAATGGCGTCGGCTCATTGTTCAAAGAACAGGAGCGGCCATAATCCTTGTCTCATAGACTGAGCGACTCTGTCCCTGCCTGGGTGTGTCTCTCTGTGTGCACACTGTACAGTATGTGCACATTTGTGTGGGTCAACGTGTTTGTTTGTGAGAGAAAAAAAAAAAAGAGTGCGGGAGAGCAGTGTGTGATCTTACTCCTAGCACAGTGAGTGAGGGTGTAACCATTAGAAGCCCCTCGCATTCCTCAAGACAGGCTGACTGTGCTGCCAACTGTGGTTTAGGGGGCTGGAGACCCACAGACAGGATGGAGTCTCGCAATACAAAAGAGAAACAATTTGGCTCCTCAACTCAATAACATAGCCTTAGGCCATGAAGGGGAGAAGGAGAGAGAGGGAGAGGGCTTGAAGTCTCGGGGTGAGTGGAGAGGTTAGAAGACTTTTGATCCTCAGTTATGACACATTGGTTCATAACTACAGCTTGTCTCAAGCCTCAGTCTCATTCCCATGATCAACATTATTAATATGCCTCTGGCAGCCAAAGGTCCAGGCCTCTCCTGTGTAGTTGTGCCAAAAAACAATTCACAGGAATTTCACAGCATCTTAAAACTGTATTACAGCTGAAATATGGAAAACATGCCCGTTTTCATGTTCCATTATTTACTGACCCGAATACGAACGGGTCCTGAACCGTTTCCACTGGGCGGGGAAGATCAGTGAAGGTTGATGAATATGTATTTACTGTATACAAGGAGCCCTTCATGGCCCTTTATGGAGATGTATTGGCTAGTAGCGATGACAGCTCCGTAATTCTCTTTATGCTAATATTACCCAATACAATGTGGTGGTTACACTTGGCGAAGCTCACTGTAGTCTCTTTCTTCATTTTTTATTTTTTTTTTTTTAAAAAAGCACTTTCAAGAGGAGCTGTGCGACACAAAATCCTGGAGTTTCTCAACCGTTTCCTTTGCACAGGGGCGTTACAAAAGTGAATTAAATCCCATCCAGCGTGAAGAAAAACATGTTTACTACGTGAAAGCGTTGGTCCCCTTCCAGGCCAGCAGACTCTGTCACCAAACAGCACAAACACCAGTACGGTTTATGGCTCACCTGTTTGTTTTGGTATCTAATACACATTTCCTTTAGTTTGCCCTTTTAAGTGGAACATGGAATAGGAAGTCCACATGGAGAAAAATGTTCAAAGTTAAGTGACATCTCTGACTGACTGTGCAAAAAGCACATTAATTTATACAATAAACACAAGTGTTTTTTTTCTTCTTCAGTTTAAGTTTTGATAATCTTTGCAAGGTATCTTTTGATGGATAGCAGTTGGTATTTTGCAGCTTACCCTCAGGGAAGTGCCAAATAAAACTAACAGCTGATGAACGACTCTTTTGCTATTTTGCTGATATCACGGCTTGTTTGGTCCTCTTAGGTTTCACTCTATAATAAAATGATTGCCTGTTATTCATATTTGGCATGAAATGTGTAACCATAAATCATTCGATTTGTCACAAGCAAACTGTTCCAAAATAATACTGCAAACCACAGAGGGAAAGAAAAGACTAAGCCTTTCCCATACTGAATGCTGCAGTCAAGAGCTGGAGCTGTCAGTGGTGTTACTTTGTATAATTCCACTGTGTTTGTTGCTCAACATTGTGTATTTATATTGGTCTGCATTGGCAGGAAAGTGCAGAAGCGTATTTCAGTTTTGGATATTGTCTTTTCGTGGGTGTATTACTTCACTGAAACCTCTGTCCACATGAGCCTTGATCATCCTCTACTCAAAGTCAAAAAATGTTTATTACTGTTGTAACCACGAAGACAAAGCTCCAGCTCCGGGAAGTGCTACAGCCTGTTGCGATACTCACATTCTCATAGAGGGCGTGCAGAGTCTCCAGATCAACGACAGTGTTGTCCATATTTAGGACGGCTGTGGATGGAAGGAGAGGACGACGTGGTTAATGTGAATGTTAACACTGAAGCATGTCATGACATTTCTCTGCTGCCTCCGAGGATCACCATTAACAAGTCAGAAATCAAAGCAGCACAAACAGGCCTCCACTTCAGATTATAACATTTTCTTTGGCTGAAGAAACGATCACAAATATTGGCAGAACACTTATCCAATCTGTGTTGCTGCTCTGCTGGGGCAGAATATGGCACAAAACAAGGTCAAAATTCTCCCTGCACATAAAGGGTCATGTGCTGTCACTTTCACAGATATCGGCTCTCATCACGATAGCATGGAAGGGGCCACTCGCTAACTAACTAAAACATAAATACGGAGGTCTTAGAAATCTGTCAAAGGTACAAAGATCTGTGTTTGAACTCCGGTGTTTGAATTCCTGGTGTCGCCTTTTTGTCTCGGCGCGAGGACCTGGCGCCCGCGAGCATTAATCCTTTGAAAGTAAATGTTTAAAGACAAACAGAGCCCGGGGGTCTGCAGTGTTGAGGCTGAGGTGTTGCTGTGCGCACAATCACCCAGCGAAGCACTCCACACCTATATATGTGTTTCGCCGTGCTGTGGGTGTCCAAATTACTGACATTGTTTTGATCTGCTTATTTGCTGTTGAGGTACAGAGGGAACAGCTAGTGTCAGAGGGGATAAAGGAACTCAATGCACAATGTTCACTTTGCATCACATCTTATGCTTGGACTCTGTGACTGGATTTATAAGCTTTTCATTGACTTAACTTAAACAAACAAGAACACCAGAAAAACAAAATTAGAGAAAGGTCAGACATTTTTAGGGGAAAAGAAAAAAGCATGGAGTGTTTGTTGTTCTGATGCAGTCCGTTCTGCCTGGTGTTTTCAGCTTTGATATTGCTTTATCTCCCTTCATGTAATCCTGCATCCCTCTTAATCTCTCTTGTGCCACAAGGGCAAATCCACCCAGCTCTTTGCCGTCACCCTCTCACCTCTGCACACTCTTTCCTCTTCCAAAGCCACCACAGAAATAACTTCCTCCTCTTTGACTCTCCCCGTTTTTGTTTCTCGCACTCTTCTCTTGTTACCATTTGGTTTTCATTACTATCAGAACCAGAGTCTGGCTGGCTGGTTTGATTGGAGACAGCTTTTTCATTTTTATTTTTTAAACAGACATGGGAGAAAGCTGTATCATCACTCTCACACAGACCCCTTATGACCAAAAGCCAGACCCATCTGCCTGAGTCTACCCCGACTACCACATTCAACCCCAGCATGGTGCCGGCAACCACCATCTAATACTGTGACTGGCGCTCCAAAGCCTCACAGGAAGCAGACACCGCACGGAAGTGTCTTATGAAACATGCAGAGTGTCGGCCAAGTCTAACACCAAATAACAGCTGGGAAGAAAATAAAAATATTTTGATTACTCGCTGTGAGGTTGAGTCATCATTAAAACAGACGCGATCTAAGTCAATGATTCAGAAGTTGTTTTTCTTTGAGTAGGAGAAATTGAAGCCATGATGCATTTGCTAGTCATCGTCTTCACCACGGAATAGAGAGGAAATAAAACTGATTCACTGCACTGAAAGGGACAATTATAAAGTTTGGATGAATAAATCTCTCTCTTTTGATCATCTTTAATCATCTGAAACCTCGGACGACACAAAGGAACATGAGATCATTTCAGGAATGGGAAAACAGCATCATTGCTAAAATAGTCTTTTGGTGAAATAATGAGTATTTTATGGATATAAATATTCACGCCTAATAATCATTCAATTAAAATGCATGACAACATAAACAAAAAACACTTTCTAGGGTGACTTTGTTTGTCCAAGGCAGATATATCTTCACTCTGATCAATCAATGATATACTGAAGTTTCCAATCAGCGCTTCATTATGCACTTTGGCAAAAACTGTCCTAACATAAGAGATGAATGACGGTGCTGATGAGAGAGGCCCTCGCTTGCCCTCCCACTCTGACCCGAGATGGATGCACCAACGACTGACATTTAAACCAGAAGAGTGAAAATCCACAAAATGCTTTGAAGGTATTTCAGTCAGACAAAAACAGCCCAACTGTTTATTGCTACTAAAACAAACCAATCATGGTTTCTGTGGTGCACATTTCTTTTAATGCAAAATATCTATAGCTGCCATTGAGATAAAGAGTTGAAGCTGTAATAAAGGCTCCACTGTAGGAGGACTGAAAAGGATGGGGAGATGAGGAAGAGTGTTTAGACACATAGCTGAGCGAAGACTGCAGAGCAATCAGAGAGTAACTAAAACAGGAAAACAGTCTGTTCCCATCAACATCTCCTGAATGACTTCACTCTAACAAAGCCGCTGAGACAAGATGGTGACAACTCATCAGAGAAAGACAGAGCGCCGCGGAAGAACATGATGTAGACGTTAGATGGGGAGAGATTATGCAAAATGAGAGCAAAGAAAGGGGGAGAACAACAAAGGGAAAACATTTGCAACGTTATGACTTGTGATAAAGCAAACTACTACAGGGAGGTTTAAGCTTCGTCAATAACTTCAGCCGACACTCAATCTTACTCACTTCCCAGTCGACTTAAAAAAATATGTTTTTAATAATAAACTGGCACAGCTGTACTCAAAAAAACCAAACAAAACAATCTGAAATACTATGGCCAACATTTTAATGTTGTATACAGAACTTATTATAAAATATGTTGTGGTTTAAGAGTGCCGTTTGATGTCAGTGTTCAGCATGTCCACCGTTTATTGAAATAACCTGCCTCCCCTACACAGCTGGGAATAATAATAATCATAATCATAACAACAACAACAATAATAGTAGTAAATCACATAAATAGCACAACATGCACAGAAGGCAATAACGGAGGAGGTCCCAATGTGAATGCTGTTTACGAATTACGAAACAAAATTTGGGCATTTGGAATAAAATACTTTTTGTAAATGTTCTTGGTTGCTGCGGTCTTCCCGACAGCAATTTTATTAATTTTTTTTAAAAAGGATAGATGGGCAGGATCAGAGACAGTTCAAACTTTTTGTTTCACCTGCGTTTTACATATTTACGTCCCAGATGTGTGAGTTTCTGCTGTATAAAATACAGGTAAACTCAATGTCAACTGTATATGTCTGGGAAATTGTTGGAAAATAAAATAATAATGAATCACCCCGACAAATCTACTGTACTTAAAGATCTATTTTCCATTTTCTCCACATTTACAGTGCTGCTTTCAATACCACCTGCATACTGTAGCAACATGCAGAACATAACTACTCCTTCTACAGTGTGCAGACACATCATTCCATTATTTTATTGTAACCTGTGTAACAGAGTTCTTCACAAAGAGTCATTCGTCCAGATATCTGACCACATGATGAAGACTTACCGTTCTGGATGTCCTTCATGTCAAGATGAATGCTGGACATCAGAATACCCACAGCCTGTGAACGCTTGTTGTTCAAGAGCTTCATCACCTAAGAGTTGACGAGACAAAGACCAAAGAGAACAGGGATGATAATACAACATGTATCATGACATGATGCACACACACGCATGCAGTCAACGCATTTAATTAAAAAAAAAAGACAGGAACATCACTCCCCTTTATCAGTTTCCTTCTATGGGAAGACAATTTAAGACCATTCACCTGGAAACAGTGAAATTAAAATGCTGTCAAGCTGAATTATGATGATTAACAATTTCTCCTTTTCCTCCAATTCTCCACATCCATCATCTTTCAGTCATACATATGAAACCTTTTACGCAACAAGAAATAGAAAATGATCATGAAGTCCTGCGACTGATTACATTTACAGAGAATCCCTATGGTTTGGATTACATTGTATTTCATGGAATTGCACAATGGAGGGATTTTTTTATCATATCCAAAGATCAAACCTGCTCCAAGAGCTGCAATATTAACAAATGTTAGCTGAATAGAAATAGCTTCAACTTGTCATCCAGCCAGGAGTTAAATATCAAGCCAGTGTTGTTATCAAGCATGAAAAACTGCATCCAAAGGGGGCCATTATGAACCACCGCTGGCCTGAGTAAGCAGAAGTGTGCGCCGGGTAGCAGAGTGGTGAAGGGACGGGATGGGAAACCCGTAGCCTACTGTGATCCAGACTAAACGCTTCCATCTAAACCAGATCACACAGACCACAGACCTCTCAAACACACAGGAAGTTATATCACCAGTCCCCAACTGTCTCCGTTTTCCCGGCTCAGCCACAGCTTCGAGGGACAGGCCGGGCGAGGTATGATGCTGAATGACTTCCACGGTGAGACCGATAGCTGGTGTAGGGTAGCCGTTTAATGGCAGTGAAATAACAAGTCAGTAGTCATGATTTATCAGCTGACCTGAGTCTTCTAAATGTATAAACAGGTTAAAATTGCATTAAACAGTTCAGTGGTTTACAGAGCTGCCTGATATCACTTTACACATAAATCTAAAAATGCCCTTGCAGTGTATCAGTAGTATTATTTCTTAATGAAACACAGCTGGATCCGTGAACCACTACGGTTAGAGAAATTATTTTTCATCAATGGCTTTTTTTGAGGACAACGAAACAGCCCTAAACATTTCATCTAATGCCGTGTCTTTCAGCAGTCTCATGGCATACGTGTGTCTAGGAGTTTTGTTTAAAGAAATCCTTTAAGTCACATTAATTATACTGCATGTTGATCTTTTGATTCATTTATCATTTCAACATTGGCCAATATGAAACAAGAAACAAATCACTGAGGTGCAAAACAGTGTGCGAGTTTCCAGTTGTACAAAAAGTAATTATTACGTATAAATTATTTCTTAGCATTTAACTTCGTGATCAAGCTTAGGTTGAACTAAAACTACGAATACGACTTTTTATTTAGTGATGCTTAACACCTTTAAATACATTTTAAATATACTGTGGGACTGCTTTATCACCTGACATTCTAAAAACTGAGCAGTGGAGGGAAAACAAACAGTTCCACAGAATCCACGTATTGATCGATAAACAGTCTGCACAATAGCCAGATGTTACAACAATAACCAGCGGCATCACCACTCTACTTTTGACTTCTCATAATTTGTTTAGGGTAGGAAAGATGTGCTGTGCACCACGAACCCACAGTATCGGACTTTGAAAGCTTCCGGATTAGTGTATTGACAGAAAATGTATCTGCAACTATGATTCATAATTTAAGTAATTTCTCATGCACAAATGCTGAACATCCCCGAGCTTGAGCATCTTAACTGTGAGGATTTTAGACTTTTGTGATCACAATCTTTGGGCTTTGGACTGCTGCTCAGACAAAAGAGAATTTATCACTGTGTTCTCACAATTTATCAACCAAACAATTAATAGATTCAATTAGAGAGTAATCACAAGATTAGTCAATAGTTAAAATATCATTAGTTGCAGCCCTCATTCATATCCTCTATTGACTATGATTATAAGAAATCCTCATTCATGCAGGATGTAAAAAGTCTTAAGGAGACCTAAGCTGCACTTAGCATTCATTCCATCAGAAGTGAAAACACATTTTGCATCTCAAAGATCAATGCTGCTAAATTGACCCCGAATGCCATAAAACAAAAAAAACAAAAATGATCAATCTCAAACAGATTCATCTCACATAATCTAGCAGCATGGCTACATTGCACCTCTGTCTGAAAGGGCCAGCAGCGTATACTGTAACAGAGCTCTTCTTCTAAACTCCTTTACAGATAGACAGCAGGTCAACCCTCGACACTGGACGATGATAGCGTTTCACATTCGACACTGATGTCAGCAGAGGCCTTTCCACCGACGTCAAAGCTGCTCTCTAGTGGTAGCTCTAAAGGATTCTCATCAGCAAGACAGTTGAACTCACAACACACAGGGGGACGGGAAGAGCTGCAAGTAATAGGAGATGGGATCGATCGTCTTGAGGCCTGGGGACGGTCCTCACGAGATGGAAATGTCAAAGGTTGGCTCCAAATTGGGATCCGTCACAGCTCTGCCTATGTTTTATTTTTTCCCCCATTATTGACTTTAACATTGTCAGCACTATTGTTGTGTTGGAGAACCTCCACGGCAGCATCATGGAGCGAGGACCGGGGGAATTCAACCCACACCCACCTCAATTTGTCTCGCTATTTAGCAATACAACCACAGCACGAGCTACTGCACGATGTAGTGGCAGACTTACTCGGAGCTCCATCAATCACGACGTCTCACTAAGGAAAGTCTATTTTAATAGAGAGTGGGGAACTCATTTGCGTCATTTCTTATATCTAGACTCTCAGCTGTCGCACTGCTCTGTACAGAAGTCAATTCCCTCCATTAGCTTTCTCAGATGTTAAAGAAACCATCCGACATCCCCTGGAGTGCCAACATGCTTGATGACGGCTATTTCTGAAGAGTGTTTGAAAAGGAATCTCTGTATGAAAGAAGGATTTTCTTGTGAAGGGCAAACTCCCTTAGCTTATCTACCTTTTCCCCATTGGTGTTGACTTTTGTGCTCTATTGGATCAAAGCTTCAAGGTGAGTTTTCCCCTCTCTTGTTTGCTGTACATAGTGGCTTAAACTAAGCTACTGCAGTTACTTCCTGGCAAGTGCATATTCCTCATGAAACACGCTTGTGGCTGATGTTCCAGCGTATGCTGCATTTTTCTTACACAGGACTCTTCACAGCTTGAAGATCAAATAATTATCCTGAACAATCAAGTGAACCCATGAAAGTATTGAAATAATACACATAGAGGCTCGGGCTCAGCAGGACTCAGAGATACAGTTTATTTTTGTTAAAGTCAGTGGTGGAAAGTAACAAAGTACTTTTACTCAATTACTCTACTTAAGTACATTTGCGAGGTCCTTGTATTATTTTACTTCGCTGAAATATTGTTCTTTCTACTAGGCTACATTTATAGATTCAGATTTTACACAAAAACACATTTAATAAACGTATGAAATCCAAGAAGATTGTTCAGGATTAAACCAGTGGATCGTTATTGCGCCCAAACAAACTCCTTAAAGCAACACATTTGAAAGCTGCAGGCAAAATAAATGCAATAATTGACCCAGTTGACAATAAAACCCATGATGAAAGGTCCAACTTTTACACACCTCGGCTGGACCATGTGGCATCAACAAATACAGCTTTGGATGTTTAGAAAAAAATAAAAGAAATTATGTTATGTGGCTTCAGAAACTACTCAATTGGACATACATTATTATTATTATTATTATTATTATTATGGGGAAGAGGAGTTTAACATTTATCTGTCGAACTTTCCCTCAATCGGAACCTTTTTTAGTTTTTATATTTTGGTGTTGAGTTTCACTTCATCACTTCCAATAAACTAAGAAGACTTCCCACTAACGTCCACTCTTGAGACCAATATTTCATCTCAGCAACTGTCTGGTGATCCTACTGGGTCTTAATTAGAAGGGTGAAAAGCTCGTCCCTGGTGCAACATTATATGTGATTTAGACAGCAAATAGTACATGAACATTAAAATCCTGACCAAAGCAGCTTTAAATCGTGGATCAAATGTTTGACTTGTAGATTGATGGATTGGCATGAAGGGCATTGGGGAGGCAAACGGTCTGACTATCAAACTAAGTCATACAGAAAGCACAATAGGAGGAACCACATCATGAAATACAGCTCCCAGGCTTCTCCCTCCCTCCCTCCTTCCTTCCTTTTTTCCTTCTTCTCCCCACCCTCACTCCCTCTCTCCCAACAGTCATCACCGTCGTGAGGTTTCCTCACCGCACGCGAGACATTGGCTCGGTGCCACTGGATGGTCACGGGGGAGTCGGGTGGGAGCCAGAGCTCACACCACATAATAACTGTCTGGCTGAAGCAGTTCCTCCCATCACTCAAAGAGCGACAGAGAAGAGAAATGGAAATGAACGGGTCATCAGAGGAGTGAGAGTGAAGATGGGAAAAGCCCTGAAGAGAAACCATATTTAGTGACCCAGGGGGATATACAAACACACAAACATAAAACGCACTTTACCTGCTTGGCCTTGGACTTGCTGATTGTATCTGAAATTGGCTTTTTCTTCTCCTTAACAGCACTTTTGGAGAAAAGTTCCACAAATTCTTTAAAGTCCACACTCGGTTCATCGATTGTATCCCACACCAGTGAGCCAATGGGCCTGAAGATAGGAGGAAAGTGGAATTATTATAGGAGCAATGACAGGCGAGGTTTAATCTGCCATGTATCGTTTGAAAAAGTACAGCCAAGTCCACTTTTATAGTAACTCATGTTTTTATTTCACCACAAAATGCATTTTGCACAGTTCTTGATTGACTCATTTGTCATCTTTTGCAGCATAAAATCCACTCACACAAATCCATTTGTCAAATCAGTCGGCCAACACAATATATTTAGGATTCAGCATCAAGTTCCTCACTTGCAAGTGAATCAAGTAGTCTATTTCTAGATGTTTATTCAGCTACAATTTTCCAAGCCTTATTAAGGAAAGAAAACCTGGTTCAAGTAAATTCAGTGCTGACCACAATGTCTGGACTGCATCACTTTCATTTTCCACAATGTTAGCATCTCTACTGCCGTCAGAGCACGTGACGATCTTTATCTTAAGTGGACAAGCTTCCTCCATACTGTTCAGAAAATACCCATGTGCAAATGATCCATATCTACAGCATATCCTTACTTTTTAGCATTCAGCTGTATCCGTGTCCAGTAGAGTGGCTTCATTGGCTTGGGGGGCTCTATCGCAGCCTTGGCAGGGGCAGCTTCCTGGACCATCATGGAGGGCATGGGGCCTGGTGGTGGTGGAGGCCCAAAGCCTGGGGGTGGGGGTGGAGGAGGGGGGCCCATTCCAGGCGGAGGGGGTGGGGGAGGAGGGCCCATACCCAGCGGTGGAGGAGGTGGGGGTCCAAAACCCAGCAGGGGAGGAGGTGGTGGAGGTCCAAAACCTGGTGGTGGAGGAGGTGGTGGAGGAGGTCCAAACCCGGGTAAGGGTGGGGGAGGCGGTGGTGGAGGAGGAGGAGCAACACCCCCTGGTAAAGGTGGTGGTGGTGGAGCTTGATGGGCGCTGCTCGGTTGCCTCTGTTGGCACATGCAGACAAAGCTCTCTGTAGATTTGGGGATGGAGGATGAAACGGAAGACGACACGCTGCCTGATCCTCCGATGAAAGGCACGTCAAACTTAAACCCCTCCTCCACAGGTGAGGTCTGGACGGACACCTCCTGGCTCATCTTTTCCAGTCTTCCTCCTCTCATCTGTGAGGCCTTGTGGTGGGCAGTGCACAGAGCTCCAATATTATCACCGCTGCCCTTTGCCAAGGAGGCCTGCTGGCCCTGCAACACAGCAATCTTAATCCGCAGGTCATCAACGGTCCTCTCCAGCTGAGGGATGAGGCAGCTTTCATCCTCTGATGATGACTGACCTGACTTCAACCTGCTGGATTCTGTCTGTCAGTGAACAAAAACAAAGATTTTAACCTAGCATACAACTACATTAAAAGGTTCACAATGGGGAACTTAAGAAAAATAAGGCCTATGGGTTGGGGCTTTTGCTACACGACACCTTCTTTAAAAGCAGGTAGTCTAGCCTCTTGTACTCTAAATGTTAAAAAGCAAACATAAAAATGTGCCGTTAAATCTTGGACATAATTGTCATTCAATAAATTTCACTCTATAAACAGTAAAACAGCCACAGCTGAGGGAGTTTAGTGACAGAGCTGTGAGCTAACGGAGGGTCAAGAAAGTCCATTATGTCTAGACTCCATCAGATCTCTGGCTCCAGACTGGTTAGAGCAGGGATGGGGGGATACCGAGAGAATTGACCCCAGAGACAGTGAGTCTCGTTGGGCCTCACATGGGGAGGGCTTGTGTCTGCAGTACACATAGTACACATTCCCCAGTTGTGGTCACATCGTTGAATCTTAAGGAGAACATTCAGTCAGTATAGCCTTCCTAATTTATTAACTCTTCCTGGAAACTGGGAGGGTCACTGCGACAGTCTCACAAGTCTTTAAAGACAAGCCTGACCTCTGGTGGACAAAGAACAGAGACTGAGGTTTACTGTATTCCTCAACATTCTGACAGGTTGCAGGTTGAAATAAAACACTTAATAATTGCATTCTTCAATGCCTGATAATCCTGTATGGGCACAATGGATTGTATTTCAAAGTAGGCATTTCTCAATGTCCCTTTTTTCTGCTCTTCACTCAAACTACTATTCTAAATGCTCTCTGATGTTGGTAGTTAAACCAAGATACCATATCAAAGCCAGCATAATGCTGAGCGGGCAATCCTACTGTTAAGTACGTTAAGATGTATAGAGGATTTAACCAACCTGAGAGTGTAGAGCTCCTAATGTCTTGGCTGATGATTGATGCAAAGGTGATCTCAAGCTTTGTTCTCTGGCTGTGGTTCGCCCCCCATAGAGTTCCCACAAGTGAGAAGACACTGGCAGGCCTACAGAAGCCCAGGTGTACAGCTGCTCCTCCTGCAAAGGTTTAGAAAACAAGCTTTAAAAAAAACTAACTGTAAATGAGATCAGATCCAAGGATAAATATGTGTGCTCAAAACTACTTGCTCCCATTGAGGGCTACTACCCACTGTATCTATCATACAGTGTGAACACATGCAGCATGATTAGAGTTTAACAACATCCACTGGGAATATGAGTCAAGTGGTAGCTTTTTCTGCACGCTTCAAGTGTGGAAAGACTTCAGGATAATAAGCCGCAGTAGAACCATAACGATTTTTTTTCTTTTCATAGCCAATGTAGCACACAGACTCATTCTCCTCCTCTTATAGATTCAGAGCATCATGTAGGTACACTAATCAATGATTTGTACTTTGTGGGATTTCTGGCTTTCAAAATGAACCGTCTCCTCCTTTTGTCCTGAGACGGTGTTTTTTTCTCAGGACAAAACGCATTAGCTGGATTATGGTAACCTGATCTACAGCCAGAAAAACACACATACAGACAGTCTTGTTTTCACGACTTTTGGGACATTACATTGACTTAAATTTCCTGGAGACTTACCCTAACAGCTAAACCATAAACATTATACTAACCTTAGCTCATTACATTTTAGGGTAAAGTAGGTTATGTTATAGGGACGTGCATTCCGTCCTCATAAGGAAGGTGAGTCCCCACAATGTGACTGTTAACAGATTTATGTCCCCCCCCACACACACACACACACACACACACACACACACACACACACACACACACACACACACACACACACACACACACACACACACACACACACACACGATTGATGGGGAGCCACTCATTAGTATTTATCCACTTAGCAATGCCAAGTGAGAGAGATGACTTGTTTTATACTGAGTTCTTAGATACTCATCCTCCCCAAACCCCATTTTTGGACAGAAAGAAGTTGATGGAGTATTTATTTTCAAGCGGTATGCAGAACAAGACACCCACCACTCATACATTTGTTTACTCCAGCAAAGCAGTGAAATTGGATACAAGGCCATATTTAGGTAGCAAATTGGAAGACAAATAGGAGTTGAGAGATAAAGATGGAAATTAAAGGATAGCGAAATGGTGAAAGAGAGGACAGAGGTGACGCAGGAAGTGATTCATACCAAGATGGAATTTATCTTTCAAAGGAAAACAAATCTAAAAGATTGGGGTATCAAAGCGGTTTAAGTGAAACAGTTGCAGAGGAGCAAAGACTGACTGTGATGATATATTTTAAAAGAGTGATTAGCTGTAACAAACTAAATAATAACAATGAGAAACATACTCTGAATGGCAACAGCAAAGGCTATTTTTGATCAAGCTGAATAATGCAGGACTCCAGGGCAGGCCTCACAGGCAGAGAGTGAGGACAAAAAAAAACCCAACAACAACAAAAAAAGTAGGTGGGGGGCAGCAGTGCAATCCTGTCCTACGCTGACATGGTGAGCTTTTTGCTGAGGAAGAGCAGCCTGAGCCCAAGGCACGTGGAGTTGTTAGATAACATGGTCAGCAGATGATCTACGCAAGCACACATATGTGTGTGTGTGTGTGTGTGTGTTTGTGTGTGACTGAGTGAGTGTAAGAGGGACTGCTATTAATCCAGCCATGCGAGAAAATGCCTGAACATGTATGGGTGTCTGGGGCTGTCCTTTTGTATATACTGTATGAGTGCACATGTGGCAGAGTTGAACATAAAAAGAAAGTGCTCTGGGTTTGCATCCTATTGTGACTGCACACTAGGCAAGCAGAATAATGACTATATTTCATATATAACAGCTTTAGAGCATGCATGTTTAGGTATGCATGCTGAACCTTTATGCATGAACATAATTTGACATGCTCGTATGTACACAATGCTTCATGTATATGTGGGGGGAGGAGCAGTGTGCAACTAGAGAGCAACACTAATCTGCTAACATGTTTTGGTAATCAACATACAAAACAACAACACTAAGAGTCTACAGCCATGCAACAGCTCTAGGATAAATAATCTGGGGACCATGAATGTCTGTAAAAATCTTTGTGTCAATCCATGTTTGAAAACGATATTTCACTGGATAAGACCTTATGGTGCCAACGGAAAAGTCGTCCTCTGGGCACAATGAATGTCTGTAGAAAATGTCATGGCAAACCATCCAATGGTTGTTAAGATATTTTAGTCTGAACCAAACGGATGGGCCGGCCGATACTGCGTCTGTAAAACCAAACCGGTAAAAATAGCAATAAGGCTAAAAGAGATAATTAAATTTGTCTCAATGCGTGTAAAGAAGACAACTAATCTGAGACATAAAGACGCTGAGCAGGCATTCACATCAACACACAGTAACATGAAGTTCAGTAGGATGAGCAGCTACAAGGGGAAATGAGGGTGGCTGTGGTGAACTGTGCAGGGTGATGTGATGCTCATGAGATTAGGTCAGAGCAAAGCATTACGGGAATGGAGAATTAAAGATCTATGAAATGAACTTTCATGCAGTCACCCCACATGCACCGCTGCTCTTCAGATAATGAAATGTCTCTGGGATGAATCACAGTAATACAGCAAATTACTTTGTGCTGCATTCTTTCAGTATATCATCTGATGAGCAAATGTCAACGCGTTCAGTATTTTGGCCATCTTGTTATTTTGCAACCGGAAGTGACGATGCAAGTTAGACCAAGAACTTGCCGCCCGATGTCGAATCACTTTGTAATTCAGCCACAGTCCTGAATGGACAATCACTAACAACATGCATCATAACGTGTTCGTTTAATCAAAATTAGAGCAGTGGTGCCTCAGTTTTTGCCTCTGAAAGGGTGACATTGTGATCTTTGTACTTTTAACACTAATATATATCGAGTTGCTGATGCTCATGTCATCATTTTGTAAAACAGCCATGATGGCAGGCAGTGAAGATGGAGGTCTTACATTAAACACTGCTGACGCAGTGCTGTCACCATGGAGCTCTGCTGTGCCATCACTGAAGGGGTGCAGCAGACCCTGGACCAACATTCGGTGACACAGTTCCTTCGCCTCCTCTTCTGCAGACCCATCTCCACCATGCATACACAGCCAGTCCAACAGAGTGTGACCTGAGAACAGAAAGGCAGTGAAGCGCAAGACTGAAACTGGCCTAAAGAATAAAGAGCTCCATTTTCTGTTGTTGAAACTAATGAATCCTGATTCTACTTATTTTTAACGTATCATAAGTAGGCGAGCTGAAGTGTTCAACTAGACACCTTATACCACTCAGATCAAAGAGTGGAAAAGTGATGTCTCAGTTTCAGATGTGATAATTAAACACGTGAATATCTATTCACACCATTTAAATGAGGATGAGGATGACAGGAGAGATGGTGTTAACTCCGTTGTGCAAAGAATTTGGTATCAGAAAGAGAAAAACACAATGCCTAACATTGTGGTGCGGTTGTACAGCTCTTTAATTCTACATTTCAATATAATACACTGGAAAGAACACAGATTGCTTCTGTCTTGGTAATCAGACAAAGAATAAAGACTTTTGTCATGGAGCCAGAGTAAGAAAGCAAAGTGAGTATGAGCTGTGATAAATTTCTCATAATCCCTGAATGAAGAATCCTGTTTCTTGCTGATGGCAGGAGCAGAAGTAATTATTAAAGCTTGGACCAAATATTAACTATGTGACATCAACAGAGGATTTGGAGCCCTGAGGAAAAACACAGCTCTGTTGCTTCATAGTCCAACCATGACACACTGTGTAGTCAGTTGTTAACGTTAAACCATGTGATTCAGGAGACATTAACACAGTCCTATGACTCGTGGTCCTGTGGACATTGATTTTGAGCACTTTGTCTTTAAACACTGAGGGCTAATGCAGAAAACTGATTGCATCTCATAAAATGTGTGACGCAGACTAACTTAACGTGATTCAAATCAGTTCAGCATGCACATATAGAATTCGTTTTATTAATCTGTGGCCAGTTGTTTTTTTACACTTCTTTGGTTTTCCCACTCCCTCCTCAGGGCCCAATGTGACCTGAAAAACTTGCCAAAGTGATGTAACATGCAGGGCTGAATTAGTGAGTGGTGAAATAACCAGAGTCTTTGTGAATAACAACAGAGCAGCATATGTCCTTTCATTTTGAAATCTCAGATAGGCCCAATGGTCAAAATACAAAGGACCTCCATTGCTTGGCTACAATAAATTCACCTGACAAAATGAGAATGGACCTCATATCATGACTCATTTTTGTCATGCAGATAAACTGTCACTTGGGATTAGCATCCAATAGTGTCCACTGTGTGTGTGTGTGTGTGTGTGTGTGTGTGTGGGGCATCGCCCTGGGTGGGCGGCAGTGTCGTCATTCTGTCTGATTTATGAGCACAGGCTCAGACAGTGGAGAGCAGCTGAGCTCTTGAAGTGCACCACAACAGAAAGGAGGACAGAGTGGCATTGTTTTATTAGAAGGAGGCGTTTGTTCTGAAGACACTCCTCAGTAAAGAACCCTCACTGTTACATCATGATTTTCATGAGCTATTGTACTTTTAAATCATAGCTTTATTGTTCTTGCTGTGATTGTTTGAATAATGTGATCATTTGTTACTAGAATTTTAATAACTATACAATTACCATTTCACAATACCATTGCATAATAACCTAATCTCAATATGGACGGAGATAGGAGTCAAACTAATAGGGGTTACATCGGGGCCATTTGGGATTCCCAGCAACAACAGGAATAAATGAAACACAAACTGTAATATGTCAATGGCAGGAATCTTTGTTTTACCATGATGCATTGCTGGGTCAGTAAAAGGTTGCTTCTGTGAGAGCAGAGGAGTCAATGAAAAGGATTTTCTACTCAATAAAAAACATTTTTTACTATATACAATGCTAGTCCTGGTGATATTTTATAGTTTGTCAAATCACATGAAAAGACCAAAACCAACAATTTATTGACCCTACTAACACATATGGCTTGTATTAATTTAAGCCCAATGTAGGTTATTCGACCATAGACCATCGTTGTCAAAACACTATTTTGTTTTATTTTCCCATATACCCAATCTGCGGCTGAAGCTAGTTTGCAACAAATGTACTATTAACTTCTATCTATGCTTCACTTGCTGAATGCTAAAGTGCCCTGTTGTTTTAGGAAACCACTTAGTGTTTCTAAAACAATAAATAAAAAAAAGACAACATATTTCTGCCTTTTTTAAAAAAGATTTACCTCTTCAGTTGAAACAAATAGGCTTAAAGCTGAGTACCACAAACAGGAAATGGGAAAGTATCAAGAGAGGGACAAACATATTGTTGGTTTTGGTCTTTTTATTGGAAAATTATATATTATTGCCATTTAAATCCATACAAACACTTTATATGAACCTTAGCTAATAGTATATACATTCAGGTTTTGTTTTAAATTGTAGGGCTGTGACGCAAACATGATGTGAACCAATTCATTAATATTATATAATAATATACTATATTTATCACTTCTTCTGAGACACACCTCCTTGTTCTATTAATTCCCATTTTCTGACTACCTCCTGGTTCACACCATCCAATCAAGACACCCCCCAAACAATTTATCTCCTCTCTTTTACCTTAACAAGAAGCTACCATTAATTATTGTGGTCTTTAACAACCAAATCAGGCACATCTGTAGGTCATACATTTGATAGCAACATCCAACCCTTACTACTGGCATCACAATGCCATCCAGAATCAGTGCAATGGTGGCCAAGATGTGTTGCTTATTTATGATGTGGTTATTTCCAGCACTTCATATCTGTCTGATTAAGCTTCATTCAGCAGCAGCTCAGTTACCTGTGTTATATGTGACTCACCAGAGAAGA